CCTTCCCTTGCAGGCCTGGTCACCTCTAACTGCCTTCCCCTGTAGGCCTGGTTGCCCCCAACTGCCCTCCCTACCCTGCAGGCCTAGGCACCCCAACTGCCCTCCCGTGCAGGCCTGGTCACTCCTAAGTGCTTTCCCCGGCTGGCCTGGTCACCTCTAACTGCCCTTTCCTGCTGGCCTGATCGCCCACAGCTGTCCTCCTCTGCCAGCCATTTTGTGGTGGCCACCTTGCGACCACATGGGGGCAACCATCTTGTGCAAGGGCGTGATGGTAAATTTGCATATTACCTCTTTATTATATAAGATAGGATTTCTAGGACCAGAGTTATATTTGTTCACTGATTTATCCTGTGCCTAGAGGAATGTGTGGCACACAGTAGGAGTTATTGTTAAGTGGATAGTATCTGCCAATTTTGGTTGTGATCATTATTGTTGGTTTTGTTTTGTTTCATTTTTCCCTTTCTTGGACCATTTAAATTTTCATATCATATCTGATTCTTTAAAAATTCACATTCTTGACTCACAAAACTGTTCTTTAGACTCTTATTTTTCACTATATAGTGTGAGAGCAAGAGTAAAGACACTTTTGAAGTAGTCTTCTTTCATTGATCATGCTTTAGCATGGGTGTACTTGAGCCCACCTCTAGCCTTATCCCTATAAAAGTTCAAGTGAGACATAAAATACCAACATTAGAACTGGTGTTTGAGAATGTATAATAGCAAATCACTCTACAACAAATCATACAATCACTGCTCTCATCCTTATTAGCCATGACTTCTTGAAACTCTGGGTATGCAAGTCAGCACCACCTCTCCATTTGCCCTGAAAATGGTTTTTTCAAACAGTTTTAGTTCTCTCCTAAAACACAGGTGAGATCATGCCCTTCCCTTTCTCAGAATGTTAGACTGACACACTACTGCTTGTGGGACAAACACAGTATATTCCTTGGCATAGCATTCAGGGTCCTTCATAAGTAATCCTAAACTATCTTTCCTATGTAATGCTTTAGTAGCTAGACATGTCCTAACTACCCAAGACTTTGACATTGTTCCATTTCACTTTTTGTGTTTGTATCATGCCTTTGTCTGAAAGGACTCTGTTCCTTGTTTCTCATCACATGTTTAATCCTTACCATCCTTCATCAAATATTGCTTCTTCCAGGAATTTTTCTCTGTTCTTTCTTTAGCTCTCTATATTCTGCCTTGCCCTCTTATTTTCATGTAGTTACCTACATGATTGTGTTTTCTAGATTTTAGGTTCTAAAATAGAATAGTGACTTAGACATTTCTTATTGTATCCCACTTGAATACCAACATTCCTGGACATTTCTCAGCTTGTAGAAGCATGACTCCAGTCTTTGTCATTGCATAGCTATCTTCCCTCTGTGTCTGTGTTAGATTTCCCTCTTTTTATGCGGAAACCAGTCATTGGATTAGGGCTGATCCTAATCTTGTAGTACCTCAGCTTAATTACATCTGTAAAGACTGTGTTTCCAAATAAGGTCATATTCACAGGTACTGGGTATTAGGAATTGAACAGATCTTTTGAGGCAACATAATTTAACTCCAATATATGGCTATAATTATTTTACAGAGAATTCTGTTTTTTTGTACTTAAAATCATTTGAACTATTGGTTACCTTTCAGTTAAGTAGTTTAGACTTTGTTCACTTGATTTTTTATCTTGATTATATAAGACCTGGCTTCACTTCCAAACAGGTAAATCTTAGCATCAATCATAGACTTTTAAAACCTAGATGGATCCATATAAGTTTTATTTTTTTACATTTTACAGTAAGAAAAGGTAGACAAATCATCTTATTTTGTTGTACCTCATGTCACACTGCTGTGACCATAAAGTAGACAAGTCATATCATGTTCCTTGATGCCAGGGATAGTGTTTTTTCCTTGCTTTCAAAAAAAAAAAAAAAAAGCAAAGAAATGAGGTAGTTCTGATTAAAATAAATGTCTTTAATATAGTCACACCCTTTAAGGCAAAGAATATTTTTCATATTTCTGAATAACACCGAGTTGCCCTCAGGAAAGTAACATGTGGTTGGTGCCCTAGTCACTCCACAGTGACCGTTGATTGACTGTTGAAGTGAATGTGAACATAAAGAGAATAAATAGTGTACATGATGATTATGAATACCTCAGGCCCTGTGTATAGAGGACGGAAGGGACAAGAGCTGGCAGTGTGCTGGGAGGTTTCCTTAGATTATCTCCTTTAATCTTCACAATAGGCCCAACATGTTGCTTGGAGGAACTTTCCCAAGCCCATTAAATCAGTGGGAGGCAAAGCTGAGATCTGAGCCCAGGCCTGTGTCAGTCTGAAGTGCTCATTTTATCTCCTTTGCCCTGCATATAGTTCCTTCACCAAATGATTCAGCTGCAATTTCTTCTAATATTAGTAATGCCAAAATTATAATTGGGTGTTAAACCAAACACAATATTGATATGGAAGAAGGTGAATAGAGTTTTTTTCATATTTTAGAAAATACTTGATAAGGAATTTTGATTTAAAAAATTGGAGTCTTGACATACATACTGTGCCCTTCTTACATCTTTTATTTCCATCCTTTAAAGTCAAAAACTAATATGAAACTTTTAATAAGGTAATCATTATTTTAACTCTTCTAGACAGGCTATGCTCAGTTTGATATTTGAGTCAGTGTTGCCTCTCAGAAATAAGGATTGAACAACTTGCTTTGTAAATTATGCTATTGTGAAAAAATAAATATGAGCTCAGGCCCTTCATAATGAAGGCAACAGATTGAACAAAAAGCACAAAGTAATTCTTTGTTGAGTTTTTACTTTTAAGAACTTTAATTTGTATACTATGTTTTAATAGTTGTAGAGAGTGTTTTTAGTGATGTTGTAAAATTAAAATTTAGTGTTATTAGTGATTTTAGGGCACAATCATTAGGACTTTTCAGTTGTAAATGACAGAAAACTAACTCCAGTAATGGTGTTCCTTCCGGAATAGCTGCCTTTGATTGCCGAGACAGGAAGCAGTCTCGTTCCATTCTGTTGCTCACCTTTTCTTTCCTCGACGTTGACTTCACCAAAGACAACTCCACCAAAGCCTATCTTCAGAAAGGCTCTCTCACCTCATAATGGCACCAGCAACTCTAGGGTTTCCATTTATCAGCTGAGCAACTAAGTGGGGACTGGCTATCAGAGCCCAGCTGGACATCATAGGGTCATGTCTGATGGGCCAGGCCTGGACCATGGAGTACCTCTGGGCTGAGAGTGGAAGAAAAATGATTTCCAGAATACCCTTGCCATGCTGTTATGAAAGTTGGGCATAGTACTTAGAACATGGTAGCTTTAATTGTTAAAAGAAAGTACAACCAGAACTTTTATGTTTTTTGGTGCTGGGATTTAAGAAAACACATCTGCTACCACCACTGCCTGAAAAAGGAAAGGAGCAATAATGCTCAGTTTGTGATTTTTTTTTAAAAGTAGCATTATCAATTTTCTTAAGTAAATATTACCATTTTGGAGCACTTGCTGTGCATCAGCCTCTATGTGAAGCATTTTACATATTTCATTTAATTCCTATGGCAGCTTTGAGGGTGGGTAGTAATGCTCACATTGTGCTGATGAGGAAATGATAGCTCAGAGAGTTCGGGTTTGAATCCAGACTTGTCTGATTTCACTTCAGTTATTCTGTCTCTTAATTTTACAGTTTGTTTTTGTCAGTCTGTCTGTCTATCTAATTGTCCATCCTCTAATCCCTTCAGAACGACTTCTCCTCTCCCAGCATTCTCTCAGCAGTTAGCACCCCTTTTGCTGCAGGCACCCATCTAGTTCACATCTTATCAGTTCTGCATCCTGAATATCCCTCTAGTATTTGTCTCCTTTTCTCCTGTCACTGTAGCCTTCATTATGAAGGGCCTGAACTCAAATTCTTTTTGGCCTGCCTGCTTCCAGTCCTACCCTATTTTCCTTAAAGCAGCCAGATTAAACTTTAAAAAAGCATAGATCTGAATTTAACAACCTTTGTTTACCTAAGCGCTTCCTGGCCTACCTTTTCAGCCTACCTTTCAAGTTCTTTCTTCCTCTGGCTTTTTTTTTTTTTTTTTCTCTTTCTCAATTGCATCACTTTTACATCTTACCATTTTCCTCCTCTTACTGTGTTCTTCATTCTCACATTTTATCTCTTTAACTCTTCTTCAAGTTTGTGTTTAAATATCACTTCCTTAAGTCATTTAGGGACTTCCCTGCCCCTCTCCCCCCACCCTTTCATCTGAAAATATGAGAAGCTTTTTAAACATGTATCTTTATTGTTGGAAGAATTGCAGATGTTCCCCCCATCACCACCCATTAGCCCTCTCCCCAGACCTTCACTGCACTATTGCATTCTGGTTTCATTTTTTAATTCAGAAACAAACCTATGTTTAGAGCAGCTTTATCCCAGAAGCTTTTGGTCTTCTTAGGAATAAGCCATGCTTCCTTTATTTGTTATTGTTTTTAGCAATTCAGATGTTGTCCGATAATGTACTTGATTTTTAAAACTACTTTGCCAGAGCCAGCTATAATAGATGAAAATACTAAATCTTAGGATATGTAATTTCTCTAATTTGACCCTTGCATGAGTAGATGGCAGAGGAAGAGAAAAGGCTCTTGTCCTGAATTGTTCCCAGCCCAATGACACAAAAGCTTGAACATCTCAGAACCCGAACACCCACATTCAGCTCTCTACACATGTCCTTAGAATTTCTGGCTACCATCTTTCCCCAAAATGGCTTTGGAAGGAGAAGCTTTCTCGCCAGTTATTTATTATTTAAAGCAGTCTTCCCAACCTTTGTCATGGACATTGGCAATATTTGTATGGCCCGTTGGCGTCCACAGACGAGGCTGTCTGCCCCAGGTCTGAAGGGATCTCTATCTCTGCATACTTGTGGCCTTCTGATGTGCACACAGGTACACGGGTGGGGAAGATTATTCCAGGTCATACAGATACCATAACTTCTTTCTCTTTTTTTAATCCATAGTTGGTCATGTTCGGAGTTTGACCTGAACGAGATTCGCCTGATTGTTTACCAAGACTGTGAAAGGCGAGGTAGACAAGTCTTATTTGATTCTAAAGCTGTTCACAAGATTGAAGAGGTGGCAACTCAGGTATGAAATGCACTTTTGCTTTCATCTTTTTCGTTTGTGCTTTTAACCATCTCTCTGGTCAATCATTTGTTAATTCTTAATTGTCTCTGGGCTATATTGTGCACAGCCATTGATAGTTCAGAAGAAACATAAGAAAAGCTTCCCAATTTCCCCTCCACCTTCCGGGCTACATTTGTGTTTGTTTGTTTGTTTGTTTTGTTTTTAATTCTCACTGAGGATATTTTTCCCACTGATTTCTAGAGATAATGGAAGGGAGAGAGGAAAGGGGAGGGAGGAGAGAGAAACATTGATGTGAGAGAGATGCTTCCTGCACCTGCCCCTACTGGGTCTGGGGAACCTGCAACCAAAGTACATGCCCTTGACCGGGAATCGAACCACAACCCCTTGGTCAGTAGACTGATACTCTGACCACTGAGCAAAACCAGCCAAGGCTGCTTTTGTATTCTTACTAATGCACAGATGAAACTGTTAGCAAGTAATTGTGACAGGTACCAAGCATTGTACTGTAAATATTACTATAGGTGAGTTTGCTGGTCAGTTGCAATCTAGTAGGATTTTAATACCAAATATATGCAGTGTAATAGGAAATCTGAGAACTCTAAAATTCATAAAGTGTTAGCCTGAAGAGAAATTAATTAGATCGCTCTGTCAGTATTTCTCATAGCCAGTGCTACAGAGCACTGGGCTAAACACAAATAGCTCTCCTCAGTGTGGGGCTTCAGCATGCTAACATGCCTTGTCATCATTCAAAAGGGTGTGCTTCTCAATCTGTCTGGCTTTTATTTATTTCCTTTTCTTAGTGGAAGGCAAGGTGGGTGAGTTGGTGGTGAGGGGCAGGACACAGGAGGACCTGAGGATGGGTCAAGTGAGGACAGAGCAACTCTTTTTTTAAAAAAAAAAATATATTTTTATTGATTTCAGAGAGAAAGGGAGAGGGAAAGAGAGATGGAAACATCAATGATGAGAGAGACTCATTGATTGTCTCCTGCATGCCCCCACTGGGGTTTGAGCCCATAACATGGGTATGTGCCCTTGCTGGGAATGGAACCTAGGATCCTTCAGTCCCCAGGCTGATGCTCTATCCACTAAGCCAAACTGGCTTGGGCCAGAGCAGCTCTTGATTCCTTGGAGCCAGGTTAGTTTAGAGTACTTGCAAGTTGTCACCTTTAGACCTTTCATTCTCTTTTCAATAGTTGTTCAGCTGTTTGCAAATTAAATAAATTCACTTGTATTCCTTCTTTATTTGCTTCCTATACTGACAAAATTCTGGCCATTTACAGAATATGTAGCTAAAGTAAATGAAGAGTTTATGTCATGCTTTTTGTCTCATCATGGCCAAGGGGCTGTTTTCCTGCTTTTGATAAGGATCCTTTCTTGCAGGAAGGAAGTGTTTGGTTAAAGGCGGTTAGCTGGGTGGATTCTGTAGTGCATTAAAGTGGAAGTCTGCCAGGTAGCTAATCATTACAGTAGTTGTTGGGCTTGTTAGGTAGGCTTGAAGGGTAGGAGGGGGGGGCAGACTTGAAATGTCTCAGGTGATTCACCTGTAAGCTTTAATGGTGGATTTGCATCAACGTTTAGGTGAACACTTGACCCTTTGTTTGGTGGACGGGTCGTGGTTTCTCCTTGATTCCCCATATCATTTCCTGTTGCCCTGAAGACCTTGCACAGATGGTTTAGTTGAGGGCTTCTAATGGTCATAACAGCTGGAGGAATCATTCTCACTGATTTTCAAAAAGCAACTGGAATCTTTAGTTAGAGCAGTACTGACACTGGCGTCTGGAATATAAGCTTTTTTTGGAAGCACTCGTTTAATCAAAAAGGCAAGTAGGTCCAGGGAGATTTATATGTGCCCAAGGCTACAGAAAGTTCAGTGGGTGCTCTCTTCACTGTACCAGGTGCTATCTCCAAGCACAGACTGTGCCCCAGCCAAAGACTCCAGCAGTTTGTGAGGCAGGTACGGACTTTGTGTCACTCTAGTTCCTCTGAGGGGCTGTGTTTCTGGCTTAAGTGGTATTAAGTAACAGTGAGATCTGAAGAGGGTGTTGAGGGAGTGTCAGATGCTCCGGAATAACCAAGTGCAACTTTGAATGCCATCACTGCTGGAGAGGCTGTTATGGACCAGTGCAGTTTACGCTTTCCTTACATTCTTTCCCCATTTTCAGCCCTCCACCCCCTTGGCAAGCACAGTACGTCATGAGTTTGTATCAAGCACATGATGCAGGCATTTGCATTAGACCACCAGTGTGACTGTCACATTGGAGATTAGATAAGCTGCAGTTGCATTCATGGTATTCCAAGCAAAAACTGCACACAGAAAAACAAGTCTCGATTAGCAGCAATTTATCATAGAGGGTACAGGATGCTTCTGTTAGGAGTACTATCTTTGGGTGTAGAAAGAAGGGAAAATTTAATAAAGATGTATCTTTATACCTTTATGTCATAAAATTAGCAGTGAACTCTGTTTAGGGAATGTATAGCAGATAACCTTCTATTACCTCTAACCTTTAAAGGCCAAATTTCTATCACATGCTGTGCAATTCGCAGTAGCTCCGGTTTCAGAGTTTTGGCTTCATCTTTCACAAACTCAGCCTCATGATTTTCTTTCCGATTACCTTTAAAGGAGTTTTAAAGGAGATATGTCGTTAATTACACAAACCCAAATTAATATTTTTGTTTTCTTAGTTCCAGTTGGAAAATATTGGAATTTGAAGCAATGTCTTTCTCATTGGTTTTTTAAATAAATTATGACTCTCTTTAATACTCAAAATCCTCTAATAACAAATACAGAGATTGGAGCTCATTGATGATTTTAAAACATGAATCGGAAAGTAAATAATAGTTGCATTATTTAAAGAGGGTAAAATCTTAACACATAACCCACCACCTTCTGTCCAGTACTCTTCTCCAGCATTTTCCCTCCTAAATATTATAGATTCTCAGGAACCACATTTTGTCCTCAGTAAAAAAATAAAAGCTTCAGGTTTCTGTGCACTTAACACACATGCAGAATGTTTTAACAAAGGAGTTCCCAATGCGGAGCGTGTTGAGGAAGCCAATTATATTTAGCCACACTCACCTTGCCTGTCTCTCCTAACCCAGAAAACGGAGGATGTTCCGATTAAAATGACAGCCAAGTGCTGCCAGGGAGGCGGCAGCAGCACCAGCAGCACCAGCAGCAGTAGCAGCATCTCCTCCTTCAGCTCTTCTGGGGGAGCCTCACAATACGTGAAGGAGCAGCTTCCCAAGTACCAGGTACCCTGTCCCTCCCAGGTGGAGTACCCCAGGGTGAACTCATTTACTCTCATTTCTCCTCAGGGAGTAATGCCTGCTAGAGGGTTCCACTCCAGGAATGTGAGAATCAGTGTTACAAAACGTGCTCTCTCAAATGTTTCACAGCAATGCTGTTTTCATACAGTGGCTTATCTCTTGATAAAACTGTGATCAAGCAGAGATAATACATACCCAGTGAGGAAGAAATATTGCCAGTGAGGTAAACCCTCTGGTTTTGCTCCCTTTGTTATTAGAAGCTGATTGTTATTAGAAGCTGATTAATACACATGCATTGTCTAGCTTTGTTATAAGAACTCTAAGGATTCTGGGAATATGCATGGGCCTTCTAAGAAAATAGACTTGCCAGTAGAAGGGAGAAAAGAAAACCTTGGATAGGAGAAGAAAGAAAGGACAAGATATATCTTGAGTGTGGAGGACAAAGGGCTTGGAGCATTTTTATGTTAGGGGGGGTGCGTGTGTGTGTGTGTGTGTGTGTGTGTGTGTGTGTGTGTGTGTGTGTGTTTTAAGGAAGTAGAGGCTAGGGATTAGGGTTATTGAAAAATATATTGGCTAACTAGATATAAGAAAAGTGTTATAAATATTAAATAGCAGAGACTATAATTGATGGAAGATAAAATTTTGTTATATTGCTGGAAGAGTAAAGCCAAAGAAATAACCAGCAGCCACACATCTATAGAACTTTATTAATATCCTGGCCAGGATTTGTGCCATGTATTTGCCTTTATTTCACAGTGCTCCTTGGTCTCGGAGTATAAAATATGCCCTGGCCGGTGTGGCTCAGTTGGTTGAGCATCATCTCGTGCACCAAAAGTTAACTGATTGAGAATCACTGTTGGAATGTGGATCTTGTAGCCCAAGAAAAAGTGGATTATAAATATGGAAGTCATGGGTGGAAGCTAGTAGTTAATAAATAATAGGAAAACAACTGGGTTTCGGTCTGCATGTAGTGAGAAGAGGTTAGTTTTACCTGTAACCAGAGAAAAGCCTAATTAAACAAAGCTGATAGATTTATGTTTCTCATTCCTCCTCTGCAAATACATACTGGTAGATGTATATATGTGTTTGTGTGTATATATGTGTGTACTTGTGAGTACCAGTATGTATGTATGCATGTGTATAATTGTCATTAAGAAAGAAAGATTGAGAAGAGGGCGTTAAGGATGACACCCATGTCTTTGCTTGGAAAAGCATACTAGTAGAGACTGTGGCTGGTGGGCTGAGTCCCAGAGAGATGGTGGTTTTATTTTAGTCAAGCTGTGCTGGGTTATATCTAGGTTTGAGCCTAGAGCTAAGGATGTGGTGTACATTCCTATGTAAAGGATAATCAAAATCACAATCGAGAATGCAGAAAGTGAATAGGAGAGCCCTCAGGAAACAACCCTGTTCAAGGGATGATCTGGGGAAAAAGAGCTTTAAAGGAGTTATTAAGAGAGACATTGAAGAAAGTAAACTGGGAAATGTCCATTGGAATTGACAGAGTCACTAAGGCAGTTTGAATAGAGGAGGCTGCCATGGATTAACAAGCAAATGAGAGTGGGCAAAGTGGAGGCAGTACAATCCACCCTTCTGAATGACAAAGGGGACAAGAAGAACCTTTCAGAAGCTAGAGGCATCAAATATTCAAAAAATATTTTTGTAAAACTTCAGAGGTACCAAATCATCTGTTATCTTTTGGAACCTGATAAACTCTGCCTGGACCAGTTGGCATTTTTATCCAACACTGTTCATTATTTGATTGGATAATACTGAACCCTATTTCTTCTCAGGATGTGTTCTTAGTACCAAGGAAAGAGTGACCCTGTTTCATAACATAATCTTTCTACTTAGAGTTTATCAATGGAGATAATAAAAACATTTGTTTCTCATAACAAAATTAAAAATAATCTGATAAAACACTGGGATCCTTCTGAAGATATTGTGTTAAAGAAGAAATCATAGACATTAGTAATAATTTGAGAAAAATAGGCTATTATCATTAAGATCGTAGAATGATCAATTGCATCGTTGAGAAATAATTACCCACTAAACTAAGGAGGGACCCAGGGGTTAATGAATGTTATTTCTGTTGCCTTGCACACCACATTGTGCCACATACTAACTGATTTCGGTTTCTTTTGTGTGTGGCAGTACACAAGACCAGCTTCAGATGTCAACATGCTAGGGGAAATGATGTTTGGCTCGGTTGCAATGAGTTACAAGGGCTCCACCTTAAAGATACACTATATCCGGTGAGTTTGGGCCTCTTTTTCTATTGGCTGTGAGAAGTGGAATGGTGACATTGAGTCATTAATTCAAAAATGCATTTTGTTTCTCCCCCACTCCCCCACCTCGACACAGCTCTCCTCCGCAACTGATGATTAGTAAAGTCTTCTCTGCTAGAATGGGCAGCTTCTGTGGGAGCACAAATAAGTAAGTATGGGATTTTGCATACTATCTCTCTTTTCCCCCCTTCCCCCACCCCCCCACCCCCAATTTTCTAGGTGGCTATTTCTGGATAGAGTAATTCTTCAAGGGCCATAATGCCTTTTGAAATGAGAAGCAGGATAAGTCCACGTTAACACAGGCATCTTAAAAGTGGCCATTTTCCAATACACAGTGCACATGAAAAGGCTTTTTTACTTTATCCAGTGGACTTAAAAACATATATCTTTTGGGTTCCTCTGGCGCCCACTGTGTTCTTACTACCATCACTAAGCCTCAGTACCCTAGAAAATGAACAGCGACGGGGGGAAAAGAGGAATCACATTAATGAGTTTGTGGAATTACCAGTCTTTTTATCCTAAAAAAAACTTGAAAACTTATTTGTTAGTGTGTTTATTTATTTGTTTAAGGAAAAAAAGTACACAGAGTCTTTCCAGCCTGCTGAGGACCTGTGTGGTAGGACAGGTTGTCCATGCTTGCCATCTAATCAGCCGGTGTAGCCTCTGTGCTCGGCTGGTGCTTGGGCAGTGCAATTTTCTGATTTTCACTTGAGTTTTTTTCTTTTTCTAATTATATACTTCTTTGTAGATGAAAAGTACTGAAATAGCTAACTTAGCTCTTATTTTCTGGTACATTTGTTCATCTATTTTGAACTTTGCTAGCAGGCATATTTTATATACTTTTAAAAAATAAACACTTGTTATACTTTGGTACATTTGAAAGAAAGGTTAGTTATAAATTAAAGGGGTATCATTATGAGTCAAATGAAGGCTGTTATCCTGGGAAATTAGAAGTATATTCCTTTGTAGAATTAAGGACCATCGTGTAAGTTCGCTTACTCTTCAACAAAGTAATGAACTTATTTGTTCGAGCACTTAACATTGGACTGTCATGACTTAGGCCAGTATGAGAAGTGATGTTTATTTCTTGTGAGAGATTCTTTTTCAAACCCTTGACATTACCTGAACTCCCTGTAGTAGAATCTTGAGCTCAGATTTTCATAAAAGTCACTGTGGCCTAATTATTCTGTATTATTTTCAAAATATTTATATTTATTTTACTTATTGTAAATACAATGAATTATTAAAATCTGCTTCCCTCACATTTGTGTATATTAGTAATCCTAAATTTTTAGATGTTGTGAACTCAAACTTTTATAGGAATCATATCAGTTTCTGTTGTATCCTCCTCCTGAGAAAAGTTGCTGAATTGCTCAATTAATTTTGTTTTGACAATTTATGTAAAATTATCTTTGAAATGAATAGTAACATCTTGAATATCAGTCACTAAAACAGAAGTTAGAAATTAATAGCAATATATAATATGATGTGTCAGCCACTGATCAAAATTTGTAGAATTTGGTCCTGACCTTTGTGGCTCAGTTATTGGAGTATTGTCCCATACACTGAAAAGTCTCGGGTTCGATTACCGGTCGAGGCACATACCTGGGTTGCAAGTTTGATCCCCGAGTCGGGTGCATATGGGAGGCAACTGATCGATGTTTCTCTTTCACATCAATGTTTATCTCTCTCTCTCTCTCTAATGGATTTTTAAACATTTATAGAGTTGGTATCCCATGTAATGGGAAACTATTAGGAATGTATTGTTTGGTTTTATAGGTTGGACTACCTCTAAAAGGCTTTTTTTTTTTTTTTCTTTTTCTTTTCCTTTTCTCTAGCAAATTCCCCTAAAGTTTATTTCACACTGGTAGATGTGAAACTATTCATTTATAAAGAAAAGTCTGGGCAACTGATACGGTGTTTATATTTGAAGTCTCTTAGAAAGCAGCTTTATTATCTCTTGACATTTTTTTCTTCTCTCTCTCCCCTTCTCCTCTCCCGGGATTTAGTTTGCAAGACAGCTTTGAATACATCAACCAAGACCCCAACTTGGGAAAGCTGAACACAAATCAGAATAATTTGGGTCCTTGTCGAACTGGAAGTAACCTAGGTAAAATCAGCCCCATGAATGGGTTCTTTTCTTTCTGAAACGACTGTTGTGAGTGTGTGTTTTGCTTTATTTGAGTTTATTGTGCCGTGTGTTGTTTTTTGCATTATCTTGAATCCATGGTTATTTTTGTGTATACTTTGTTTGCCCTCCTCTGTGTGTTTCTGTCCCTAGGTCTGCTGCAGGCATGCAGCAGCAAACTGCTGCCGGGGGTGGCGGAAGGAGGACCTCTCCGGCTCACCCGGAGTGCTTCTTTCTTTGCAGGTTTGTGTGGAATGCTGAGTACGGTGTGACCCACACGCATATTAATAAATCCTGGGAAGGTTCCTAGAGAAAAATCCTGTTTGGTACCTCTCTAGAAATCCAAGGGGCTCTTGAGATATTCGTTTCAAATGCAGCCAAGTTCATGGTGTTTTGAAAATTCCACCAGCGAACCTCTATTGTAAATGTCTTTGGTAAACCCTAGGGTAAGCTGATTTGGGTCTGAAATGAGCCCTTAGTGTTTCTAAGAGGATTACATTTTCTAATTTTTGTAGGCCTCTTCTGCTGCTATGAACCTTTCCCCTTTGCAATTGTATCGTTTATTCATGTATTCACCTGCATTCGTACCTGCACGGAGTTTCTTCAAAAGTCATTCTAATAAAAGCATGGAAGACACACCTCTCTCTCTCTCTCTCTCTCTCTCTCTCTCTCTCTCTCTCTCTCTCTCTCTAAAGCAGTTTAAACACAGTTTTTAGGTTCTTTACAGGTGTAATCATCTCTGTCTCTGTGGGTAGGTAAAGGCTGAGATTTGATTGGCCTTGTTAGCTAAAGCTGTTGAATGGCTGTTGTAGTCTGGCATGATTAACAGGTGTGGGAACCTTCTTCACTAACATTAAAGGTTGTGTTTATGGCAGATGGTATTATGTTCTTCTTTGTGGCCTGAAATATGCTTAAACACTATAGTTAACTGACACCTTTCTACCTACTTAGAGTAAGGATAACATGTTTATATACTCTGTAAATTGTGAAAATAAACAGACTTCAAAAAATAGCTGGCAAGTTTATTAATCAGGCAGGGCCCTGGGTTTCAAGCTTACTGTGGCAACATGTCATCTGCTCTCTAGCTCGATAAGAATGCAGTTTGAATCAATCTGAAGCATTCCTAGAAGTCTGTAATACTTTACTGTTTTCTAAAATTCATGCCAGGACATGAGTTTTTCTAAGTAACTGCAATAGTACTGTGTATGGGTATATATGGAAAAGAAGTGGAGGAAGAAATATTTGAAAATGAAAATGTGGTTTTATCTGCCAAGAGAGTGGGTTACAAACAGAGAAACATTTTTTAAATTTATGAAATGGTTTTCAAGTATTTTTCTTTCTTGAGTTGCCTATAGTTACAACTGAAACTTATTTTAAAGCATTTTGAAAATACAGTGCTATTTAAATGCTACTCCTAATGAGGAAAATGGTTAAAACTATCTGCCTGAGAATGTTTGTTTGTTGTTTTAACTGCATCAGTAGTTGATTATTTAGTTTTTTAGAGATGACCATCACTCAGAAACGTTTATATGCTATAGTAGGATAGTGAAGGCAAGTAGTTACTTATTCTGCTTTCTTCTTACTTTCTTCTTACGTTTTATGCATTTAATTTTGATTTCTAATCTCTATATAAATTTATGCCAATCATCAATAGCAGTAGTCTATTTTGAAATTCAAAAATTATTGTACTCATTTAAAAAACAACTTCTTTCTTTGAAGAGCCCACTAACATGGTTTCCTTTTGCCTTTATCTTAGCACATAGTACTCCAGTTGACATGCCAAGCAGAGGGCAGAATGAAGACAGGGACAGTGGCATTGCTCGATCAGGTATTTTTATTTCCTTTTATTGGTTTCGTTAACAGAGTGAAGTCTTCTCTGGTGAAGTAGTTGGGAAAATAGAAGACTGGCCTCATCTTCTGGAGTCTTTTGTTTTGTTTTGTTTTGTTTTGTTTTTTCTTCACCATATTTCAAGATAGCCTCAGATATCTGAAGATCTAGAACTTTGATGCTCAGCATCTAGGAGTAATTGCTATTTTTTTCTATTACCCAAACTAATATGAGATTAAATATATTTTGAGAAATTTATTTTTAGAGGGAAGCTTCCTTGAGCTGATTGTACTGGGAATTTGCTTGCTGAATATTGACTGTCAAAAGAGGGGAAAGAAAATATGTGTGGAAGTGACTTTACCCATGACTCAGGGAGGGCCTGCCAGCTGACTTGGTCACCTTTTCTTCTATCCTAGAGTCACTCCTTCTAGATCTTATCTCAGGTAACCTTTCTTTCCTTACTTTAAACCTGAACTGCTGGTAAGATCACTTGGTCTCTGCTTTAGGAGACTATTCTGTTATTTTTGATTTGTGGTTCCAACTTGAAGTAGATTCTCTACTGGAAAAGAAAGGTAGGAACCTGAAGATCTAGAATTTGAGAACTTGGAGATGTGTGGGGCTTTGCCATACATTATGCATGGGCCTCTACCTTTCACTGAAGACTAGGGGCATCCTGCTGGTCTCACCCGTGATATGTGCCTATTCACCAGATAGGCCACCTGGTTGGTGCCCGGTGTGCTAGGACTGGATCCAGGTCTCGGGTGCCTTTCCTCCTGACCTTTCCCTCATTTCTGTTTCCAGCTTTGGCACTCAAGGAGCTTGGAGGAGTCCTTGTGCTCTTTCTGTGTAACACCAGAGTCCTGCAATATACTTTGCTCCCAAGTTATTACTTTGTTACTGAATCCTGCTATTTGGTTTATATATGTCACGTAATGTAAAGTGCACATCGTTTTATTTATGGTTAAATAAAAATAGTTGAGTCATCTTGATCTACTTAAACTATTTGGAATTCTTTGGCATGGGACATGTGTCTCTTTCCCCTTGTCCATTAATTAATTAATTAATTAATATCATGGGCTCATAGATATGTATTTATACTTTGGATTATAACCCAATTCTTCATTATTTACTTGCTCAAATTATTCCAGCTTTGGCCATGGAAGGCATGGAGCTCTCTCAGTTGGTTCTTGTGTTACTTTAACATACCCACATCAGAGTGTGTGTGTGTGTGTGTGTGTGTGTGCGTGTGTGTGTGTGTGTATGTACTTTCTGGCACTCCCAGGTCCAGACTTGTCTTGTATATTTCCTATTCCAGTCCTAGAATCAGCTGTTTCTCAATGGAGCCCTGTACATTCTTTGGAGAGTAGTATTAGATTCTAGGATTTGGACACAAGATGTACTTATTGCTACTAGAGTGTCATTTCTTATAGGCCCTTGCTACTGACAAGCAAAAAATAGGAGTTTATGCTGTGTATAGACATCCATAATAAAAAAAGCGTAGTGCGCTAACTAGACTGGACAAAACGAGGGCTGCGAGGGTGAGGCAAGCCGCAGTATCAGCAAGGGCCAAGCCCCTTGCACGAATTTCGTGCATCAGGCCTCCAGTATTTATATAAACTAGAGGCACAGTGCCCGAACTTCGTTCATTTGTGTGTGTGTGGGGGGGTGTCCCTCAGTTCAGCCTGCACCCTCTCATAGCCCAGGAGTTCTTGGGGGTGTCCATCAGTTGGACATCCTTAGCGCTGCTGTGGAGCAGAAAAGGCTCTTGCTACCACCACTGGACCCGCCAGCCATGAGCCTGGCTTCTGGCTGAACAGCACTCCCCCTGTGGAAGTGCACTGACCACCAGGGGCAGCCCCTGCATTGAATGGGGTTGGGCCGAAAATGGCTCTCTGACATCCCCTGAGGGGTCCCAGATTAGAGAGGGCACAGGTAGGCCGAGGGACCCCACAGGTGCACAATCGGGGATGGGGAGGGATGCAGTAGTTTGGCCAGCCTGGGAGGGACTGCAGGAGGGCTCCAGGGTGTGTCCAGACTATCTTGCTTAGTAATGGTTTGGAGTGTCTGCCTCCTGGTGGTCAGTGCACGTCATAGCGAGCAGCTGAGCAACCTTTAGCATATCATTAGCATATTATACTTTGATTGGTTGAACGGACAACCAGACACTTAGCATATTAGTCTTTTATTATATAGATATTGGTATATGTAATATTTGTATCTATAATAAGTTAAACATGAGTTTGTACTGTTATTTCTGTTATTCATAACCTATTACCATATAGATCATTCTGCCTTCTCCCCTTGCTTATTTGTAGATTCCCACTCCCACAGTGAGAAGCCTAGCTCTTACCACCTGCCATCCATTTAATTGTTTCACTTTGGTTTACATTTATCGCAGTGTCAGCATTGTTAACTGGTACCCTGCGGGAAACGACTTTATTAAGTGGAGTACAGTGCTTGTGTGCAATTCCTTTTCCCTTTAGTCTCACACACATCCACTCATTTCCAAAGTTACTTAGGTCAGCACCTTCGAGATATGGGAATTTTTGCAGCTGTCGGTACCAGGCAAGTAGAATCTGAAATCACAGCTAACACTATTTCATCTTGCAAACAGCTTCCGGCATACCACCAGAAATTCTGATTGCACGAGTTAACTCTGAAGAATAATTTAAGGTGTTTTTTCTCAATAGTCTAATAAAGAAGTAACTTTAGAAAAGCTTTTTTGTTGTTTGTTTGTTAAATCAGTATTTATAGAGAGAAACTCATCCCAGAATAAAAAGGAATTTTAAAGGAGATTTCCCATCAAAAAGACACCTGAGGTCCTTTGTCCTCGCATGGCAGTTCCTTCTGTAGACAATCCCTTTAGCAGACCACCACCAAAGGAAGGAGTGATGGAGGAGGTTACTTCATGTGTAGTGCACACTTATCTTGTGCATAATATGCTCTGTGAATACAAAGGGTCACATGGGTTTAAATTCTTAAAGGGGTTTACTCTGTTGTTAGAGGACTAAATTATTTTGGTGGTTTTCACAGTAAGACCAATTTGATACAGATGAAGTTAATGAAAGGAATTAGAAGGATAGCACCAATTCTTGACTAGTCAACCATCAAGCCACAAGCCCCCTGGGTTATCATGCTGTACCAGAATTTGGGATGTTTTTGAAGAAGAGTAAAAATATAGCACCTTCCCTCAGGAAGAGTTACATGTAAACCAAGAGTTAAAATACAGTGTGATGAATAAAGTAGTACCTCATAGAACACTATGGGAACAAAGAGGAAGCGGAAGGGCCTTTGCCTGGGAAGTCAGAGGGTTACCTCAGAGGAGATGAGGTATTTGAGTGACACCTTATAGGTAGAACAGAACTGTATCAGAGTTTAGGAAAAGAGCCTTTCTGAAAATAGTCTGTGCAAGAGTGTAAATCCTTGAGTGCACACTGTTAGTGTGCTGGACTACAAGGCTGGGACCTGAGGCCATGTCAGAAGGTAAGGCCAGCTATGAAGGACTGATTGGAAGGTGCCAAGCTGTGCTAAGGAATTTGGGTTTCATCTTGTTGGTCGGGCAGCTAAGGATGTTACTTGGTTGGCTGTATATTTTAGATCCAGGCAGCACTTCACAGACCCCTTCCAGAGAAGCTGGACCAATACAGTTATTGCTAAAATAGATCAATGGTGAAGAGGTTAAGGGAATTGGACAATACATAGATTTCCCCCCATTAACTTTATTTCAATATAATGTTCCCAAACTTATGGGGCTTCTTGCCACTGTGTGTGTATGGTGTGTGTGTATGTATGTGTGTTTGTGTGTGTGTGTGTGTGTGTGTAACTAGTATAAAATGGTTATCTGATTTAACATAAAATTTTGAAAACTAGACCGTTGCTGGTTTTTTTCCCTCTTCACCTCTTTTTTGGGATAGTATCATAGAAAAATATACACCTTTTTTTCCTGGGTTATCCAGTGGCTTTTTGTAATAACAGAGAGGAAAGAAATCTTGATTTTGATTTATCCTTAATGCATTTTACTCATAATTTCTCCAGTGCCTCTTAGTATAGTTTGTAACACATACAGAATAGGAAATACAGGAGTGTCCAACTCATTTACAGCCTCAACTAGTTAGATAGACTTTTTTTTTTTTTTTAAAGAGGCGTCAGTAAAGGAATAAACTAAATAATAAGCTCACAGTGTTTTTTACATTGTAATATTAGCACTTTACTTAAAGGTCTTTGCCTTACTCCCTGAATCTTTGGAATGTATTAATGAAGTCAAGTGAAAAATACATACATATATATTTTTCAGAATTTAGTATTCATTGACTTTTACTTACAAGTTTGAGAACCATTTTTCTGGTGTCATTGTGGAAGATGAGATATAGAAGTGGAAGACAAGACGAAATTTTTTTGCTTACCAAAAGATTGGAAGCATCCTAAGTGTTCTTCACTGGGGGGTTGGTTCCATGGCATACTTCCTAGTAAAGGAATACCATGTGGCAGTTAAAGGGATTGAAGCAGCTTGGCAGGCCTTGGAATAAGAAAGTTCTCTTAGGGTGTAGCAACAGTGTGTTACAGTAAACTCTTATTTATGTTTAAAAAAAAAAGGCGTATATCTATCTCTCCACAAAAGATAGATAATTATGCAAATAGGCTTTCTCTGAGAGGGATACTGCTGGGATAAGTATGGAGGGGAAATGCATCATTGTATCTTCTTTTGGATATTTTGAATGCATCCTCTGTGCATATATAAATAAAAAGGAGGAATGATTTTTAAGAGGTTCTTTTAGTGGCTGCCATTAGAAATATTTCAAGTAAAGTCTTAGAGGAGGGATGGATTTTAGCCATCCAGGAGGTAATATTGGCAGGGCTGGGTGACTGATGGGACACACAGGAGATGGGGCAGGAGGGAGGAACCAAAGGTGACGCTCCAGTTCCTAACTTGGGAAAAGAAGCAACTTGGGGTGATGGCTTTATCCAGTTTAGGCAAAGCAGGAGGCAGACAGTGAGATCAT